GAGCAGCAGCCCGTCGACCCCAGGCCCCTCTCATTGGCGGAGCCGTCGCCACCTAGCCAGTTCTACGAGCAGCAGCAGCAGCAGCAGCAGCAGCTGCAGCAGCAGCAGCAGCTGCAACAGCAGCTGCAGCAGCAGCAGATGGAAGACAATAATCTAGACACTGAAGAAGAGGCCTCAGAAACAGTCGAGACTGTCTCAGTCCACACAGAGACTCCAGTGTCTATCCTACGCAGCGAGGCCTCCTGAAGCTTTGCTGCTGCAGCTATCATGGCAGCAGCAGCAGCAGCAGCAGCAAAAGCAGTGCAGCAGCACCGACGGCAAAAGCGTGTCCAGAGAAGACTAATCCTGCACCGACGGCGAATGCGTGCAGCAGATAAAATAGCCAGCTAGCTATCTGGCTAGCTAGCTCTCTGGCTAGCTGGCTATCTAGCGAGCTAACTAGCCTTCTGATTAGCGAGCTGGCTAGGTATCTGGCTAGCTATCTGGCTAGCTAGATGGCTAGATAGATAGCTGGCTAGCTGCCCAGCTAGCTGGTTAGCTAGCTAGCTGGCTAGCTGGCTAGCCAGCTGGCTAGATGCCTAGCTAGCTGCGTAGCTGGCTAGCTGTCTAGCTAGCTAGCCGGCTAGCTAGTTGACCAGCTAGTTAGCTGCCTGGCTAGCTAGCTACCTAGCTAGCTGCCTAGCTAGCTGGCCGCCTAGCTAGCTAGCTACCTAGCTAGCTGTCTAGCTAGCTGGCTGCCTAGCTAGCTAGCTGCCTAGCTAGCTAGCTGCCTAGCTAGCTAGCTAGACAGCCAGCTAGCTAGCTAGCTAGGTAGAGGGCTCACAGGGGGCCCCCAAGCTCGCCTTTGGCCCTTCTAGATTTCTAAAGTCCTAAAAGTCTCCCCAAGGGATTTAAATAGCCAATAGGGGCCCCCAAACTTCCGTATGAAGCTCATTGTACCTTTCCTACCCCTTGGGGGCCCCTGCGGGTCTTCTAAGGGGCCCCTCTAGTCCCTTGGGGGCCCCTCAAGACCATTCTGGGGGCCCCGAAAGGGCCTCCTAGGGGCCCCTAAAGGGCCTTATGGGGGCCCTTAAAGAGCCTCAAGGGGGCCCCTACAGGGCCTTCTGAAGGCCCCTAAAGGGCTTCCTGGGGGCTTGTATCCACTTGCGGCCCCTTGGGGTCCTTGGGGCCCCCAGGGGCCCCTGGAGCTGCTGCAGCTCCAAAAAAACGATTTCAGGGGGCCCCAAAAGACGTCCCCAGGGGGCTCCAGAAGACGATCCCAGGGGACCCCAAAAGACGATCCCAGGGGGCCTCAAAAGACGATCCCAGGGGGCCCCAAGAGTCGATCCCAGGGGGCCCTTAATAAGCGATCTTGGGGGGCCCCAGGGGTGCCCCACAGCTGTGGGGCCCCGTGGGGCCCCCAGACTCCCAAAAGGGGCCAAAGCGCATTCACAAGAACTGAGGAGGGGTCCCCCCAACGGGGGCGAAGGGCCAAGGATAGAGGTTTAGGGTTTAGGGTTTAGGGTTTAGGGAGCGCAGAGGGGGATGAAGACATGCAAAAGAGATAGGGACAAATACAACTGGGCCACTGGTCTCCTAATGAGGCCCTGGGGCTGCAGATTAGTTTGGGGCCCCCGTGGTTTTGGGGGCCCCCTGGGGGCCACCCGAGAGAGCCTCTGTGGACCCCAAAGGGCCCCCACCGCTAGGGACCTTAAGGGGGCCCCCAGCGTGAAAGAACCCTCGGGGGCCCCCTTTATGAGGCCCCCCTTGGGGGCCCCCAGCATGCAGTGGCCCTAAGGAGCCCTCAGTGGTTGCTGAGGGGGCCCTAGGGAACCTCCGGGGCCTCCGGGGGTCCCTGGGGGCCCCGAGGGGCCCTCTGGGGGACCCAGAAGGTCCCAGGGGGCCCCGGGGGGCCCCAGGAGACCTCGGGAGTGGGGCCCCCCAAGGACCTGAACCCCAGAGAGTTTGACTTTGTAAGCAAACTATCCGCCATGGTAAACCCTAAACCCTAAACGCTGAACCCTAAACCCTAAACCCTCAGCCTAAGGCCTCTGGCGAACTGGCTCTCCCCAGGGAGTGAGGTCACCTGGGGGCCCCTGGGCACCAGCTGCTTAATTATGAGGGTTTTTTCCTTTAAAGTATTTAATATTCGATTCAAAATACCATTAACTGCAGCACAAAATATATATCTCCAGCTTCGGCTGCAGTTTACCCCCAATTGCGGGCCCCAGGGGCCCCCGGGGGCCCCCAGTGGCCCCTAACAAGGTCACCGCCCAAGACTCTCGGGGGCCCCCTGGGGCCCCCTGGGGGCCCCCGAAGAACACAAGAAAGGGGGGGCCCCCGAACATAATTATGATTGGAAGTTTACTTATAAAAGAGGTGTAAAGACACCCTAGCAGTCTGATTGGGGCCCCCGGGGCCCTCAACAAGTCCAAACAGCCTCAGCTGGGGGGGCCCCCCAACCCCCGGGGGCCCCTTAAAAGAAGCAAGAGAAGAGGGGCCCCCTACAGGGAACTGGGGCTCCCGGGGTCTTAGCTGTAGCTCGCCGCAGTCACAGCTGTCTGCCTTATAAGCCTTATGAGTATAACGAGGGGCTCCCCAGGGGGGCCCAAGGGGGGCCCCCAGGGGGGCCCCCACGGGGGCCCCCGGAGGGGACCCAAGGGAGGCCCTCAAAGTGACTTACAAGCCAACATACAGTTTCGGAAAGTGCTGCTGCCCATGCTGCTGCTGCCAGGGCTGCTGCTGCTGCCGCTGCTGCTGCTGCCGCCACCGCGGGAAGGTTTTGCTGCAGATGCCACGCTGCTGCCGCGTGGGCCTGCTGCACTAGCAGCAGCGCTAAACCCTAGAGAGGGGCCCCCGGGGGGCCCCCCCTTAGGGTTTGGCTTTAATTTGGGGCCCCCGTGCTCAGTAGCTTTTATTTGGCCTCAGGCTTGCTTCCCTGCTGCTGCAGCAGGTGCAGCAGTAGGAGCAGCAGCAGCAGCAGCAGCAGCAAACGGGTTGGGAGGTCCAAGAGGCCCGCAGGCGCCGCTAACCAGACCCGCAGCCAACTCTTCCGAACAACTCAACCAGCAGCAGCAGCAGCAACAGCAGCAGCAGCAGCAGCAGCAAGGGCAGACAACTGCAGCAACAGGTGCTTTCCATACTCCTGTAATGCTGCGCGAGTCAATAGATCTTCTCTTTGGGGGCCCCCCAGCCGAAGCGCAGGTGCCCCCAGGGGGCCCCTTAGGGGGGCCCCAAAGGGGGCCCCTGGAGGGGCCCCTAGGGGGGCCCCCAGGGGGGCCCCCAGGGGGGCCCCCCAGGTCCCGTTTGTTTATAGATTGCACAGCTGGAGGCGGCGGCCACTCAGCAGCCATAGCGCAGAGGCTGAGCCCCCAGGTGCGGTTTGCTGCTGCTTGGGGGCCCCCATAATGCATGCAGGGGCCCCTTAGGGGCCCCCACGGGCCCCTGGGGGCCTCAGGGGCC